GTTGGTGAACTCGTGACGCACTGCACAGAACCTGAAATTACCATTCCTATCAAAGGTTGTGCGTCGGACTGGTGACAGGCGTTTGTGGGTAATCTAGTCTTCGCAGCCACCTAAAGCTGTGAAAGGGTAAGCTCTGTATCCCATCTGAGGCTCACTTGCTTCCCATTTATATCATCCTTGGTCCTGTCTCTTTAGGTTGTTGCAGGTGTCTCAGGGGTGAGCCCTGAAGCCCCTTGAATGGAGCTGTCATCACCACCAACACTGCTGACAGCTCTGCTGTCACCCAGAGACCATGTACAGTTTTTCTTTTAAAAGGAAGCATTAAATTTGCAGAAGCAAAGGATTCCAGTGATGGCACAAGACCACCTTCCTACCACCGCCATTGTGGGCTGGTGTTGGGTCATCCTGACACGGCACCGTATAAAGAGAGGCCTTGGAGGCCACGTATCCTGGCACTCATGCCCCAGGACGCGAGATTTGGGTTGGGGTTTGTTAAGGTTTGTGATTAGTTGTCCCTGCAAAGCCTCCTGCATTCATGGGGTAGCTGCTAGTGTGTGATTAATTCATGATCCAATGCTGGGATTAGGGGTGTGAGTGCTACACCTGCCCTGGGGCGGGTAATCTGCATTACGATGTGAGGAGGAAAGAGGTGCTTGCTAGAAGCCCAGCTGCTGCCCTCCCTTTGCTCTTTTCTGTTTTCCTGCCACCATCAATGGTTACTCTCTGCCATGTGCCACTCTGCCTTGGAGCCAACTGAGTATGGGCTGAAATCTCCACTAACTATGAGCTAAATAAACCTTTCCTTTCTTAATTCTGGATGTCAGGTACTTTGTCTCAGCAATGAGAGAACAGTAACTAGGACAGGGTTTTCCCCTGAAATCCTGCATGGAGAGAAAACGGCTTGATGCACAGGGTACATGCAAATCTGCCCGGGCACATGCCTGCTGCATCACATCTGGACTTCATGCAGCTCAGCTGCAAGCAATGAGTGAAACTCTAAGAAGAGGAAGGCTCTTAGGCAGCAATTTCTCAAACTCATTAACCAACCCATATACGTAAGCCACTGTATCTGAGGGTCCTATAGTTCAGAATTTGACCCAACTGTGGATGGAAAATTTTCAAGAAAAAATTGCATCTCTTTTGAATATGTACTCACCTTTTCTATTGTTGCTATTCTACCAATCATTACAGTATAATAACAAGTTATACAACATTTATATCATATTAGGCATTATAAATCATCTAGAGTTGATTTAAAGTATCTAAGTAGATATGTGTGGGTTGTATGCAAACACTACATGTAAGACCTATGGAAGGGACTGCAGCACCCACATGCTTTGAGATCTACGGCAGTTACTAGAACCAACCTCCCTCTACTACTTGAGAATGTCTCACAGTCAATTTACATTCATGGTAATTCTGTCCTGCAAAGCCTGACTTAGTAAATATGGAATAGCTCTTCCTAAAGGAAACACAAAGCCCTATCCAGTCCACCAACTGACCCAGAACCTTGTTTTATACATGCTTATATGTAAGAACACCTAACTGAATGTCTATTTCCTAAAAATAAGTGTATACGACATTTACAATAAAACAACCACTGAGAAGAGTTTAGCATTTCCCGGATCCCAATGTACCATGAAATCATAAAATGACTGGGCTTCTAACCTATCCACTATTTTTTTTAATCAGTCTGTAAGTTTAGCAATATTTCAGTGTTTTCTGTAACTTCATCACACATTCTAGATGTCACTTGAGCCCTTTCCAGAGTGGCCATACATGATGAGCAAGTTTTCCTTTTTTTTTTTTTTTTTTTTAATGTCTCACTACACAGGTTGGACTTACAGTGATTCTCCTGTTTTCAGCCTCCTAAGCACTGGGATTACAGGCATGTACCACCACACCCAGTCTCATCACCCTTTCAGTGCGCCCCAGGGGCAGGGGTGGGGCCAGCACAGCACACACGGGATCAAACCCCAGTCCCTGCATCTGCCCAAGCAGGCACTTTAGTCCACTGAGCTATCTGGCTGGCCCTGAGCTAGTTTTCCTTTGTCTGGTTGCACTGGACAGCTGCCCCACAAGCCCTAAACTTACAGCTGTTAGTGCTGCACATCATGCGTGAGCGCGGATTATCTAAGCCAAGTACTTTCCCCTACGTGGCACAGCACTCGTGCCCTTAAGAATGCTGGCTAGCACGGCAGCATACACTGCGGGGTCATTCTATCACTAAAACTTTAAAACCTATCAACAAAAAGCACAAAAACTGAGGCATTAGATGGAGCATGAAATGTTTCCAGCATGGGAGCTGAGAAACGAAAGGAAAGCCTTGCTCAGCCGCAGCTGCAAAAAAGGAAGCTGACCGCACTTGGCTGCAAAACTGTCATGAGTATTGACTTTAGGGCTGCAGATAAATCTGAGCAAGCACATGAACTCACAACTGTAGAATGCCTGGGGCCAACCAGAAGCTCAGCGGACTGGGGTTCAGTCCCCCATGTGCCCTGTCGGCGCCACCCCCAGGGGTGCGATGAGATGGCAACTAAGGCTGGGTGTGGCAAGCCCAGCACTTGGGAGGATCACTGTAACAGGAAGATCACTGTAAGTCTCATCTGTGTAGTGAGACCTTAGAGACCCTGTACTAAATTAAACTTCATTTGCTTCAGATACACTCCCACATGTATCCTGAAAGCAGCTGTAAATACTAGTTTTGTATACCTATGTGTTGACCATGAGTTGTCTCAGGAGGTCAGGTGTGGGCTGCTCCACTTGGAGCATTGGGGAGATGCTCAAAGTGTGTCAGAGTTCGGCTTTTCATATTAGATATGCTCAACCTATTCTGTCAACTATACCCAATCTTTCAAGCTTTAAGGTGAAGAGAGGGGTGCGGGCACAACGCAGCTGTCCTGCGTCGAGCTCTTCTCCGGCATCACTCCTCCACCCCGAATGCGACACCTTACCAGGATGCACAATAAGATAAAGAAGCTCTGGGGTGGGCCCCCCAGTGATGGCCACATTTTAAAAAGTGACCATCTAAAATAGGTAAGCAGCCAATACTACGCATCTCTCCCTTTAGATTGCTTTTGGCTGCATAACCCTAGCACTACACTAACCGGACAGAAAGCTCTGGGAACACGGAGGCAGGCTCGTGCCTCGGTGGCACTGACCTTCATGGGCTCCTGGCACAGCCCAGCCACGTCCAGTGCAGGAAGGGATGCATCTGGGGACAGCAGGATCTGATTTCAGGCAACCAAATTACTCGAGGCATGCCCTTCACATGGAACCTTGCTTTCAGGACCATTTCTACCACCAGCGGCTCTTCTTAGTCCAATTCTAGAGTTCCCCACGTGAAACGGCCTACTCGTGTCTACAGGACGTGAGGCCTCTGTCCTGTGTGAGAGGCCTACAGAGTCCTCAGCAGGGGTACACAGGGCCCATTCATCAGGCCCTACTCAACCCTGACTTTGGAGCTGGGAGGCCATCCCCAGAGGGAACTAGCTTGTGAATGAATAAATGAATATCTCAATGAATGAATGAAGGAATCATGAATGAATGAATGAATGAATGAATGAATGAAACCACACAACCATTCTCCAGCTTAAGTGAGCTTTTCTACAATGCAGGTTACAAGAACTTGCTTCCAGGACACACATTCTGCTTTTCCATTTGATGCCCCTTCTCGGAAGAACAGGCTTCCTCCTGGTCCCACAGTGGCCAGGGGTCTCCTCCACCCGCACCTCCCCTTATGAATGAGAAGCACTCTCCACTCATTCATTCACTGATACCAAAGCCCTTCAAGCCGGAGGTCTGTGGTATTCTGCTCATGTTAGCATCTGGTTAGCAAAAAGCCCCAGAAGAAAAAAGTCAGTTCTTACTCCCATGATATCCAAAGATAATTTTCTCTTAAAGGATCTTTGACACGGATGCCATTTGCTACCACAGAATGCAGTGTGTCACAGGCTCTGTGAGGCCCACGTCCTTGTGGTGCTATCATCGTTGTTGGGGACCAGTCCAGGCACTGCCAAAGACTGAGGAAAGACGACAGCCCGTTGGCCTAAAGCCCAGGCTGCAGGCCAACAACCTGCCCTTTCTTTATACCCCACAATGGCCCCTGAATGCAGAACTGCTGTGACAGGGACACCCCCAAAGTAAAGTCAATTTCTACTTAGACTCTGGAAAGAACTTAAGGTGCCAAAATCACAACAGCCAGAAATCTAACATCGAGTCAAAATAATTTATAGTCCAAATACAAACCTTTGCTACGAATTATGGTCATTGTATATGTTATCTACTATGTGTACTCAAACTCCTCAACTTTCTTAGAAAAAATAAGGCCTTTCAAGCAATGCACAGCCTTTTACATGCTTACTTTGCTTTAATTCAAAGAAAATATAATTATTTTTATAACCACGTTCCACATCAACATTCATCCTTTTCAAGACTCCATTAAGCTTTCACATAATTATTTTTAAAACACAGTTGCTATTCATAGCTAACTGCTCGTCAGGGCAAGGCCCGGAGCTTTGAAAGGCAGGGCACCCAGGAGCAAGGACCATGATGAAACTCACCTAGGCACCCATCCCGGCCCTTGCCAGGGCCGTGCAGAACCACCACCAGCTTGCACACTCGCCAAAGCCATGCTGGCCACACGAGCCCCTGGCGGGGCGAGGGGCATCACTCTGATGCTCTCCTGCCGCGAGCACACCCAGAGCAGTGGGCTGGAGCCCGAATCCTCTGCTGAGGGGTGGCAGGAGCTGCCACCCAGCCTCCCCAGGGGCCTTTCCTGGTGTCCCTGCCTGGGTGAGCTTAGGAGCGACCAGAACGTCCAGAAACGTGTGTGTGACTGGGCCAACGAAGAGCCACGCGTGCACTTTAACTGGACAGCACCAGGTCCTCCCCCGCTGTCAGTGTGTCACCCTGCCTCGGTGGCAGCCCCGGCAGGACCACAGGAGCTTTCACAGCTGAGGGCCCCTCTGCCCCCTTCCCCGGCCACGGCCACCACCTACCTGCTCCTGGGCCCACTTTGGCCTCTCCTCCGGGGTCCTGATCTTGGTTTTGAAGCCTCTCTGGGCATCTGCAGGGTGCTTGGCCTCGGGAGGGAGGTCCAGTGACTTGGGCCTGGCCTCGTGCCGGCTGGGCCCATGGCTGGCCTCGCCAGGCACGCAGGCCTCTGAGGAGTCTGCGGGCCCCAGTTCGGGCATGTGCTCAGGGCTGGCCTCGCTGACACTGGTGATACTGGTCATGCTCAAGCTCATCTTGATCTCGGCCACGATCTGGTCGATATCCTCCTCCGGGTCCTCCAGGTCCCCGTCCCCACGCCTCGGGCGGTAGGGGGAAGCACTGCCTGTGTTCCCATTGGCCTCTGAGGGGTAGTAGTCCTGGTAGCCCTCTTTGCCAGGACAGTAGTGGCTGCCTTCGTCCTGGTCCTGGACCTCTAGGACAGAAGGCTCATCCTCTGGGATGGGCAGGTGGCCGTCTGGGTAGTCTGGGCTGTCTTCAACCCCGTGGCCAAGGGCGTGCGGGCTCGCCGAGTCTGTCCACTCCTCCACGGCCTCTTGGCACTCATCAGTGTCCACCGGGTGCGTGCCGTGGGCCATGTCCTCCTCCCCGCTGCAGTCCATGCCCTCCAGGTAGCTGTCATCCTCAGGGCAGTAGCGGATGTAGTAGGTGACACCCTCCTCCTCTTCGGGAAGGCCCTCGTCATAATCCTCTTCCTCAGAGGTGTTGTTCACATAGTCAGAGCTGGAGTCCCCGTCAGGGCTGTGGTTGTGGCACTGCTGCCGCTCTGGCGTGGGGCTGTCGGGCCTCAGGGCGGCCAGCTCCAGGCCCGTGGGCACGTAGGCCTCCAAGGGCAGCTCTGCCTCCTTGTTCTCGGGCTCCTGGCCACGGGGCAGGGGGCCTGGCCGGGTCCTGTGGTCAAGCATGCTGGTGGCAGTGCTCTGGCGGTTCCGGTGGGCCATGGCAGCCGCTCAGGGGGCCATCACCGCCGGGAGGCGGCCACTGTGGGGAAAAACATTAAGAAGAACAGAGTCAGAACCCGGCCATCACGGCTAAGCAGGGACGTGCACAGCCTGCTCTGTGGCCGCCACACGCCTGGCCGCCAGGCTTGCTCAGAGCTGTGTGAACACACATCTCTTAAAAGACAGGGACGCTCCCACCCAGCAGGCTCATGGGCCGGGAACAAGGGGCATGGGCAGAGCTCTGGGGAGTGGGCGTGGGGGAAGCACCCACAGTCAGAGGGTACCCACTGGGCCCTCAGAACTCATGAGGCATCAGAGACTAGCACAATGCTCACTCCACTCGAGGTACCCAGGGGCAAGACAAAGCATCATGCGATCCAGTTAGCGGCTCTCCAAAGACAAAAGAACAGCCATTCCTCTGGAAGGACATGGAGAGGAGGAGTAGGAGACTTGTCAAGTTTTTCCAGGATAAGCCTGGGCTCCGTGACAAGGTACACGTGTACTGCAACATCACGCTGCGCCCTAGAACTGCTACAACAGTTACACATCAATTAGAAGTAAAACAGAATTTTAAAAAATGACTGAAGTACACTTGGGAAGATGGCTCGGTGGGGCTCCATGAAGACATGAAGGCTGGCATCTTCCTATATTTTTAAGTACTGTTCCAGCTTTTGCGAACTATGTGAATATACTATGTTTAGTATATAACAAATTTTAAATGCAACTATTAAGACAGGAGCTATACACATGCACCCTCCTTGCTGGCCCTCCCAGCACCCCTCCCCTGCAGCTTTGTCCCTGCTTTGCTGTCCCTGCCCCACTCCAAGCAGGACACCATTCACAAAGGGCCGAGATGCGCAGGTGCCACCTTGGCTACGGAAGCCCAGCACAGGTGGCTAGCACTGGGGAGGACAGCGCCAGGCAGCCACAGGGAGAAGAGCATCCAGGACGCACTGTGGCTGGCGCCTGTGGTCCCACGCATGTGGCCCGCAAGCCCCAGGGGGAAGGGCCTGGATCTGGCCATGAGAACTCTGTGCTACAACCTCTGAGCCAAGCAGAATCACAGAGCACAACAGATAGGATTTGTTTTCCCCTGCACCAAGGACCGAGCCGGGGTGCTCTGATGAATTGCCAGCCCCAGCTCTTTTTGTACTTTTCTATTTAGAAATAGATTCTTGCCAAATTATCTTGCCAGGGGCCAGCCAAATAGCTCAGCAGATTAAAGTGCCTGCAAGCAGGTGCATGGGCCAGGGGTTCGATCCCCGGGCCTGCCGTGCTGGCCCCGCCCCAGGGCACGCTGAGACAGCAATTGAGACTGCGCATGGTGGTGCACGCCTGTAATCTCTGCTCTTGAGAGGCTGTAAACAGGCAGATCACTACAAGTCCGATCTAGTAGTGAGACCCTGAACACCCTGCAGACCCTTCCCTAAAATAAAAAAAAAATTTTAAAAACAAAACAAATTACCTTGCCTGATCTCAAACTTGTAATCCTGCTGCCTCAGCCTCCCAAGTAGCTGGGACTATAGACATGTACCACCATACCCAGCATGGAGAAGATTTAGGGGGTAGAAGTTATAGGAGGGGAGACTGGTTAAGGAAAACTCTGATTTTCTAGAACAAGGTAAGAGCTAGGATCAGGAAACAGTAAAGGAGAGCTGTTAAAGTTTTTGGCTAAGGTTCTGTTTTTAATGATGAGCTACTACCCAGGAGTTTGCTTTATTCTTTAAACTGTACTTTTTTTCACATTATGCATGCCTTTTTGTTTGTGTCATAATTGCTTACTTCTTAAAAATGAATTCCAGAGCTGAAGAGACAGTTTAGCAGGATAAGCATCTGCCTGGCAAGCACAAGTCCTGAATTTGATCCCTGGTACATGCCCTGCTGGCCCTGGAACCAGGTATGGGGGCTCACACCAGTAATCCCAGCACTGGGGAGGCTGAGACAGGAGAATCGCTGGAAGTCTGAACCACATAGCAAGACCCTGTATCAAACAAACAAATAAAAAGTATATTCCAGTAGTCGAGTAAAGAAATGAGAACTTGGTCATGATGAAGCAGACAGGAATGCCAGTTACTCTGGAGGCTGAGCCAGGACAATGGAAAGTTTCAGGCCAGCCTGAGAACCTTAGCAAGAACCGAGCCCAAGAATTGAAACATAAAGGACCGGGGTCAGAGCTCAGCATGAGGTGCTGGGTTCATTTGCCAGTATTGTAAAGAAAAAGGAAAAAGGAAAAGAAAAAAAGGGAACTTATGTATTTAAAAATGGTAATTTTTTGTCTATTTTACCACAATGAAAAAAAGTTTTTAAAAAAGAAATGAGATCTTAAATTAAAATAGTGGAGATGAGGGAGGAAGGCCCAGTAGGTACTTAGGCGGGCGAAAGCACAGGACCCGAGGCTAGACACAGGCAGAGCGTGGCACAGGGAGAGCCATCCGTGGCATGGGACAGTCCCTGCCCAGGCTCTGAGCACACGCCCTCCACACCCTCTCTCCTAACCCACTCCTCGGAGCACACGAGCCTCAGGCCCTGCACACCCCACACCTCCCGCAGCGCTCAGGCAGCAGCCCAGCTTGCAGCAGTGTCCAGGTCACCTCTCTCTGGGAGGTGGCCGGGCCAGACGGGCGCAGTCACAGCACCCAAATACTTCCGGAAGAATGGAGAAAGGGCTAATTATCTCATCCAGTGCAGACACCCCGAGGGTGAGCCCAGTCACTGGTGGAGCCACACGCTTCCGACATGTGAATTCATCCCAGAAATTCTCCAGGACAGGACCGGCCTTTCTTCCTGAATCTACAAGGGGCTCACTACTCTCGAATGCTGCTAGTTCTCAACACCTCCCCAGAATGTCCCAGACTTAAAAACATCCCACACCAGGAAAATCGGTGGTGAGCAGGACACTGTATGGCCTGAACAGCCCCTGGAGTCACTCCCTTCCGCACCCTGAAGCTGGCAGAAAAATTCCAAAGACTTGTTGCTAGGAAGAACCCTGAGATCAACATGGCCCGCCCACTGTAACCAGATGGCATGTGGAGAACGATGAGCTGCCTTAAAGACAGGACAACACCACGCAGCAGGTCGCTGAGGCCCCAGAGAATGGCCAGCTGGCCACGGCCAGCCGCAGGCATGCTATGAAGAACTCAGCAACCACAACCCTTCCTCACACAGGCCTGGAAACAGCATTCCCCAGAATGGTTTCGCATTAGCATGTGCTGCAGGCAGCGCTAATCCATATCACAGATGGCCACACCCTGACTGCTGAGGTGGGGACAAAGGCACCAGCAGTGACTGGCAGGTGAGCTCACCGCTCTGCTACTTGGGGAGCGTGACAACCTCCACAGCATTCTGTATCTCCCTCGGCTTACCACCGGGCCAGGCACGCCGCAGATACACAGAGCCACCATAGGCTGCATCCTTGACTCAACTAAATGCAGATCAAAGGCATTTTTTAAACATTTCATCCCTACTGAACATGCACTGATCATTTAATCTCCTAGAAATTCAGTATAACAACCATTTATATGGCATTTGCACTGTATGAATGTAGATTGGGTCAACTATTCCCTGGGGTATAGAGGGCTGATCCTGGGGAGGCTCTTCCACATGTGAGGGTGCAGAAAACCCACCCTAGCACAGCTCCTTGTCCCGATGGCGTAAAGGGAAATGAAGGAGAGACAGGCTTCCGCTCTGCACAGGAGCTCCAGGCTGCACCCTAAGCGTGGATGCCGTCTCCTGGCTTCCAGCACACACTCTAGCTTCTGTCACGGGCCCTTGAGCCTTCTCGTGCAGACTTCAGCTCCTGCCACGGGCCCTTTGGTCCTACACTCTGGCCATCGTTTTTGGGCGTAGACCCTTCGGCCTTCCAGCACAGACCCATGGCCTCCGCATATGGATTTGTACAGGCGCCACAGTGAACTCCAGACCTTGGGCCGAAACCAGTCTCTAGTCTGCAGACGCCCTCTGCACGCTTCCTCGTCTGTCTCTGTGACTTAGAATTTCTTGTACATCTTGTATATCTTGGGTTATATCTGTTTCTCGAGGAAAACCCTGACTGATGAATTAGATGCTACAAGTCATCTAGAGTGACTCAAAGAACACAAGAAGATGTGCACAGATTCTGTGCAGATACTGTGCCACTTTGTATGACAGCCATGAGCATCCTTGGAAGTCTCAGTGTCTCACCACCTTTGCTTCAAATTCTGTGTCATTTTGAAGACCAAATCTGTATGTATACATTCTTAGACATGTAAGTACTTAACCCCCCTACACAAAACATCCTTTAGGCAAATACAAGATTTAAGGACTAAAACTGTTAGAATAACATAGAATGGCCCTCTACCCCATAAGTACATTATCTAAGTTTTAACCGCTACTATGGTTTAGGTGGTGTTCCCCAGTGGCTCGAGTCTTAAAGCTTTGGTCTCCATTGGGGTGTTACTTTGAGGCAACTGGAACTGGGGCTACCAGGAGGTCCTTCATCCATCAGAGGGGCACACTTAAGGGGACATGGGGACCCAAGCCCCTTCCTCCTCCTCCTCATTCTCTACCCCCACCCCCATTTCATGTCCTGGCCATCCCTTGTTCTACCACAAGCTCACCACCCTCACACGCTACCTTGATACAGGCTCACGGGGTCAACTGTCATGGACTGGAATCTCTAAAACCCTAAGTCAAAAGAGCTGTCTTCTCTTTACAAGCTGATTATCTGGGTACCTGCAAGGGTGATGCGCAGCTCACACAGTCGCTGAGGTAGCACCACAGGAGAGTGAGGGAAGAACCAGTTGATTGCCTACCGCTGCTTCCTGTTCCTGCTTCAAGTCTTCAAACAATGTCAGGAGAATTTATTCAAGATACACACCACTACTGGCAACCGTGGACTTGAGCTGTAATTACTCAATTCATTGCTCATTACCGCGCCACATACTTTGTGTATTTTTTCCTCTTGAAAGATTTATTACACTCTCATTTTATGTTACTAGAACAACTGCTAAGGTCATTTCGCAGATAATCCTTTTACGTCTAGAAAGTGGTTCTGCTCACACA